GTATATTGAGAATCGTTTGTTTTACGAAGTCTCGACCTCGATCGATCCCTACTTGTAGCCAACGCGGTAGAGTCGGGACCTCCTCCGTTCGGACTCGGTCCTTAATCTCATAGTCAGGATCAAAAGGCGTATCGGGGCCGTCCTTGAAAGTGAAGAAGAGACGCCACTTAAGGCGATACTCAAAATCATCCCAAGCGTCTGTAATCAACGAGACGATGTGACGCGAATGATACATATATTTTAGCCCTACAGACAGATCATATGCGATGCGGTCCGGTACAACTACCCCAGGCGACGTATGAACGTACGACCTGAACTGGGACGCCTCGAGTATCTCGACGGGGACGTTCAGGAGTACGTAGTCAATTGCCTGTTGAGTAGACAGAGTAAGTACGGCGTCAGGGAGGGTAGAGGGGCGACCGAATACGTACCGGCCTTTCCTTTGCCCTTTCCCTTGCCCTTGACGCTGGGCTTGTTGGTCTTCGCGGGGGTCTTCTTCCCCGTCGACGAGCTCTTGCCCGACGACGTCGACGGCGAAGTCTTTTTCTTGCCATCGACCTGCGATTTCCGGGCCGTCTTGCCGCCCTTGACTGAGAGCTGCAAGTGCGCGTGTTAGTGCGCGGTGTTCAGAAGGGATAAGCTTAGAGCGTACCTTCTGGACCTGGGCCTGGAGCGGCTTGACACGCCCCGCGACAGCTTTGTCGACGAGGCTTTGAATGGACGGACCGGGTGCGGTCGCGTCCTTCATCTCGATGTCGGCCGACTTCTCGGACTTCTGCTTCTTCTCGAACTTAGCTTGCATCGCGTAATCGCGCAGCTCAACGATGGAGATGCAGCGAAGCGCGATGGGCCAGAGGTCCTCGAGAAGGTGGTGGTACTCTACCACCACGGCGGGGTTGAGAACCCACCTTCCGAGCTGAATGCCATCGGCGTCTTTGGGGATGTATAGGCTGAACGAATGGACCCCTCAGGGTTAGACTGGTGCCAGACTTTGGAATTTGGTGCAGATATTGTCATTTGAGTGCATATTCTGGTGCATAATACATCATAGAGTATAAGCGCATTTAAGCGAAAGTCTAACTCTGCTAATCACACCAGTAGCGGCCACTTCGGTCTACGGGCGCTTATTCGGCGCCGGAGGCAACATATCACATATATCCACTATATTACACAATAAAAATGAGCGCTTACTATGCGCCAGAGACAGCGCGGTCTTTGCAGGATCGACATTGTACGGTCTCGGCGCAAGCAGCAGGAATGTGAATATCAATACTCAAGTGCTAGGTCTAAGCGCGTCCGTCAGAGACGTCGCCACCTCTGCCGCTGTTCTCGACGGGCCGGATCCCGGGCAGCCACGCACATGCAGTGCATCATGTGAACTCTATTCCTGTCGGGCCGGATCCCGGATGGCCGCATGCATGCATTACGGCGGACTTTTGCCGACATGCGAGTCTCCGCGGTTTATACGCTATCGCACCTGCCTTGCACCCTCATCTGTCTGATCGCTCACCAGCCTTGCCTCTCATACAATCTTCTACGTCTCCTCGACATTCTCCGCCTCTCCATGGTTATCGAGCTCAACATCTCGGAATGGGACGACCTACCGGACCTTGAGACCGTAAGCGGCTCAGATGACGAGTGGGAGATTGAAGGGGTACTCGGCGGTGGACGCACTGAGGTAAGCCCTGTCATCCGGGATGTAGCGTCTGCGACTGACGCACGTTAGGTGCAAGAGCGTAGTGCCGCTGAGACCGAGGCTGCAGGCACCCTTCGCCTGAATAGCGAATCGACCACCGCTGCGTCTTCTGCTGTCTTGGGCTACACACTCCTCCCCTCGACGCTTGGCTCGACTCTTCCCGACATCGACATCGACGCCAGAAACGGCCGCGTAAACCTGCGCCCATTGGACGGGCACACGATTCGCGCAGAACCCGCAGCACACGGGCCCTCAAGTGTCGCGACCGCAGGCCCCGTACTTGCGGACATGCAGCACGTCCCGCAGGTATCTGCTGAGGTTATAAAAGCCCTCTGCAGCGACTTCGCGAGTATCAGGCTCGAGACTCGCACACGCATCCGTGAGAACGGTCACGACGAGAACATGGGCGACGCGGATTGGAGTCCCCCCTTGATGCTGGATGGGTTCCAGGGTCACTACTCGGGTGAGTGCTTAACGCTCACGGAACAATGTTAAACGCTGAATTTACTACTGAGACAGATCGCTCGAAGAACAGCGCTGTCGATGACCTCGCAGAGGGGTAGGCAGACGAGCAGACACAGGGTGCTGCGTCTCCAAGCGCGATGTCTATCACAGACGGCGCACAGGTCAGTACGTCTGTACAGACCTCCGAACATTCTGGCACCTTCATGTACATATATTGGGTCGTGGATCGTTCTCTCGCCTTGTCTCTCGTTTACACACATTCTCGCGCATGTACTATAGCTACTGAATCGATCAACGACTGTACCACCGCGTAGTACTCCCTGACTATTCAGAGTGACTTCCTATCAGGCGGATGAGAAACGGCGCGGAGAGGGGCACAGCATGGCATCGGCATGACGAAGTTGATTGGTACGTACAATCTATCATTGACAGCTAAATACTGAATATTCAGCGCATAGGACATGTACGGTACCCGCAGCGCTGAGCGGGGTCTCCGACGTCGGTCGTGGGGGCGCGCGCTCTACGCAGTCACCTATGTGCGACGGCAGAGCGGTCTGGGACTTACTGGGCTTGCGAAGGCGAGGGGGCCCGATGAACATCCGTCGTGTACGTTCAGAGACGCGTGATGCGGTCGTGTGCAGCACCGGCATGAACACGGAGATACGCCCGCAGGCGGATCAGCGTAGACACTGTGAGTCTCGGACCGTCAGGGAATGTGCAGGGCACTGAAGAAGCCCTCCACCGGGGTGTCACAGGGCGGGCTTGAGGCGCAACAATAGATTGCGCGGTGGGCGAGATCAGGAAGCGAGGGCGTGTGGGTGGTAGGAGATGAATGAGATCGGTGCACGACATGCGCGGTAGGGCACGCCTTGCCTTGCCTCACTCTTTCGTGCGAGCAGTATTGGCCGCGGCGCGTGGGGACCCGGCGCGGAATGCGATCACGTGGCACGCGCGCACGTTCTAACATTGCCGCTCGGGGACCAATGCCCTCCTCCTGCCCCTTACGCTTCCCTCTGGCAGCGACGTCCGCCAGAGACAGCACCAGCTCTGGCGGCCCAATGGACATGGCTGCCAACCTCGCAAACTCGCGGACCGCGTCAAAGACGTCATCGCCTCTGTCGCGACGCTAACGCAAGGTACGTACATTGCCTCTCTGCCTTGCTTCAATCACCGACATGCTTCTAATTGTCGACGCCAGCCTGGATCCCGCATGCATGCGCATGTTGTGCCCTCGAGGCTGCGCAAAGATCTGTTTTACCCTCCGCTCCGGTGTGCGTACGTACCGATTGTCCCACACATCTTTTCCGTCTCCTGTGTCGCTCATATTCCTCTCACAGGCATTCAGTCCCGTGTAATCGACGACATACGCCAACTTGTCGGGAAACCGCACATCGCAATCGCGGCGGCCCGTCTTAGCCAGGTGGGTCCACGCTCTTATCGCATGCATCTCCTTTCGATACGCTGACTGTTCTGGCCTCGATACTCGATATAGCTTTGCCTTCCTCCCTCCGCTGTGTCGCCATTGTCTCCTGCCCCATACCCACTCCGGTTCCTCGACCGGCGCACGATGGCGCGGACGACACAGACAGCGCGGAAGTCCGCGAACCCAAAGGGCCCACCCAAGAAACCCCTTCCAGCTCCTCCCAAGAAGACAAGGGCCTCAACGTCGACGCTCGCAGCAGCCGCCCCGCCGCCCCCAGTCAAAACCGCGCCCCGATCGATTCCTTCCCACCGCTCGGCGCGAGTTGTCGCCGCTGAAGAAGCCGAAGTCGTGCAAGAGGGCGAGCAGCCCTATCTCGAGGAAGACGACGAGGTCGATGAGCTCGTGAGTGTTGAGGGCGATGGTGAGCAGCAGCAGGCTGCCGACGACGCGCAGGTGACGAGTGCATTTCGGTTGTCTACGGCTGTCTGCGGTGTACTAACTCTACTCCCGACCAGCTACAAGACGATGACGCCGTGTACGATGCCGCCCTCAACGATGATGCTGTATTCAACGTTGATGAGAACGGCAACCCTATGGAGGACGACGATGAGCTCATGGAGGACGACGACCAGCTCATGGAGGACGACGACCAGCTCATGGAGGACGACGACGCACCCATGGAGGACGACGACGCGCCCATGGACGACTACGACGAATCCACGGAGGACTTAGAGGGACAGCCACTCCAAGCGATCCACGGTGCGGCCGAATCCCCCAAACGTCATTCCTCAAGACCGAAACGGCAGCCCACCCCCACAACGTCCGAGGACGAGGCAGAGGGTGAACCGGAGGGTGAGGATACGCTTATGGTACGTCTCCTAGCTCGCTTCTCTCGTCGCATGCTCATGCTTTTCATCATGTAGGATGTCGAGATCAACGCAACAGAAGATGAGTACGGGGCTGCCCAGCTGGTGAGTGGCGTTTGTCTGTGCTATTTCTTTACGTAGAAGCTCACCAATCACGCGGCCGTGCATGTAGGCGGAAGCCATCGCCGGCATACTCAGGCCTGCGCCACAGCCTGAGGAAGGCGGGTTGCTCCCAGGCGGCGACAGACCAATGGAGCGCAGCCTGCGTGCGCTGTTCGACAACATCGGCGAGGGCACGGATGCATTCGGGGAGGACACCGCGGTTCTCGCAGCGACACTTCGTAACGGCCCACCGCGCATGCGAGCATCGAGCGCAAAGGGTAAAGGCAAAGGTAAGGACAAGGACAACGTTGAAGAGGTCTCGGTCTTCGATGAGGGACTGGACCACGCGGAGATCGTCGCTCGGCTACAGGTTATCGGAGTACCTGGGCGGGGTCTGGCCGCTGACGAGGAGACGAAGCGCCTGTACAAGGAGCGGCAGGCAGCACTCTTGGGCTATGGCATCGTCGACCTCTGCGACCCGGAGTTTCTGAGTTATGCCATCTGGGGCCAGTACAACAGCCGGACGACGAACCCGAACACAGTCCTCGCACTCGCGCAAGACTTCAAGACCGCCGGCAAGCGCCACTGGGAACATCCTCTCGAGGGCGCCCTAGACTCTTCGTGGGTCGACCGGAAGACTCTCACGAAGGACCTCTCGAGTCTGGACAAGATACCGTTCCTGAAGCTCAACTACAAGGCGATGGGTCAGCATGCCATGACGTTCTTTAGCGGCGCGCACCGCAAGGTCGCGTGCTGGGTCTGTTGCATGGCCGCCACAACGACGCTTGAGAGCATCGACACCGAGATCGAAGTTGGCATTGAGGAAGGAGTCACGGAGGACGACCCGAGCATGAAGACTCTTCGCACGATGCGCGACAATGTCGAGAAGGAGCTCGAATCCTCAGGCTGGTGGCTGGTGCGCGTGTCCAACCTCGGTAAGCTGCAGACTTGCGCTAGCGATTGTGTCCTTGCTAATATACGCAACATTTATTAGGTAAGGTCACGGAGAACCTCGCGCACAAGCTATCGGAGAACAACGAGCTGCAGGAGGAGAAGATGCGCGTTGAGGAACGCCTGTTCATATGGCTCCGCGACATCCGGCAGCGCGTTCAAGAATGGCGGCTGTCACACCCCGGGGAGGAGACGCCTTCCGTCGACAGCAATCAGTGGCGCGAGCTCTTTATCAACCCCGCAATCGCACACAACGAGAGGAAGGGGCAGTCCGCCGTGTGGATCCTGTCGTCGCCAGTTGCGTACGCGTTCCTGCAACGTATGTCGACGTACGACTACTTCCGCGCCGAAGGCACTATCAGCCACAACGAGCTCAAGGCGCGATTGATGCCGGCATCGAGGGCCAAAACGGAGATCCAGACGGTGGGATATGTGAGTGATTCAGCCTCCTGTCTCTTATCCACATCCTGACGTGCTTGCAGATGTGGCATGATATCGCGATCAGTGGCCTAAACCAGATGGACTTCATCGCGCGCACGACTGAGTTCGGGACGTGGCGCGATGACGGCGAGTGCGGGGAGATCTACAAGAGCTACTTCCAGCTCATCGAGGACGGCGCTGAAGCATCTTGGACGTCGGAGGACTGCGCCGAGATCAAGCACAAGTTCGAAGAGGCTGTTTCGCTTGCCGCGACGAAGGGGCGGCTCGTTGCACGCATGTGGCCGCGGGAGCTCCTCAACGCAATCGACAAGCTGTACGTCGAGCACGTCGCGCCAGTCATGGGACGTATGGGGACCTCACAGTGGGACGCCGCCATGCACGTCTACAACAAGGCTCTCGTAGTCACTTGCCAAGCGGTGTGGGGCCTTCCGGTCTTTGTGGAGGGCGACGCGCAATTGGCGCAGAGCAGCGCGTACGCCCTTGACAAGTTGTTAGTATGTCGCCGCCTGTGCAAGACCGGTGTGTACCTCAACGTACCGCTGCCCACTCGATCATTCCTCGATGAGTCATACAAGCGACTCGAGAATGTCGAGTACGCTATCCGATGGGTGAGTGCCATGGATATATGTGTGCTCTATGTCCGTCAGAGCTAGCCTCGTCTTTGGCGGACACGGTGGTAGGCGTGCGCAATCCGCCAGAGACGTGTCTGGCTCTGACGCTACGCATGTACCCTCTCAGGGTTCGTATGTCATGGAGTATGGATGTCGCTTGCTAACACTTGCGTCACATTGCAGATGACTCGCACGCTCGACCCTCGCGTGGATGCCGTTGCCCGTCAAGTTGGGCGCGGTTATATCGACTACAGCCACTACTTGCTATACCTCTTGCGTGACCCCGAACGGTTTCCCCATCGGCCAGGATTTGATATCGCGCTCCCTGTACGTTCCGTTCCGACTCATATTGTTGCTGGCCACTGACGTCAACATTATTATAGCTCTGGGGCTTCGTGCTCAAGAACTACGAGCTCCTCAAGGTTGTGGAAGACGTTGTGTGGCTCAACCTGGCTCGTGCGGACGACCTCTTCAGCTTCTCGCCAAACTCGTACCGCACCCTCGGCGAGAAACTCGCAAAGGAGGGCGCCGCGCACCCAATGCCCACCGAGTTCGCCACACTGTATCCCGGCGGCTGGAACAACAAGATCTCGCAGCTGCTTGCCTTGGGACGCAGCAAGATAGCAGAGGCCATCTCGAACAAGCCCCCTGCCGTCATAGCGTACATCTCAACATCTGAGTACCACGCACGTCTCGCGGGTGTTGCACCTCCGCCACCGCCCACTGTCAGAAAGCCGGATACCCACGAGGAGGTCAGGGTCAAGATAGGGTACGAGGAGTTTTCCCCTGCTCTGCTGAAGGAGACACCGCTCCTCGCTGCCCTGAGGTTTACGGACCCGCGGTGGTGTGCGGACGCGCAACAAGGATCAAACAAGCCGAAGTTAGGGTTAGGGTTAGGGTTAGGGTTAGGGTTAGGGTTAGGGTTAGGGTTAGGGTTAGGGTTAGGGTTAGGGTTAGGGTTAGGGTTAGGGTTAGGGTTAGGGTTAGGGTTAGGGTTA